ACCAATCTTATCAAGCTAAATTGAGTTCACAGCTGAAAGTAAATCAGAACAATCTCATCAGAAACCTATATCAAAAGCATGTAAATAAAGTCATCTGAAAATGATTATTCTTCCCATCATAAATGATTCATCAAAGTTTCAGTAGATATGCAACTCATTAATAGTAGAAACTGATTAGTCCATAAAGAGAAAACAAAATAATTGAACAACAATATTTCATCTTCATACGAAGATGACTCACTCTAGGAATCACACAGAAAATGTTAAAAAAGATACTAAAAGGAAATTTCTGTCAAACAGGCTTCTTAAGAAAACTGACAGACAGTTCAATAAAGGGACACATGTACTGGGCTACATGCAACTACAGCAGTCCAGCAAAAGAATCTATTTGTTTCTACAAGTCACCATTGTATGATATTCAGAAAATATCTACCAGTATTATAGAAATGTTGCAAATAAAGGATAATTTTTTAAGTGATATACTTTCCATACAAATGGTCAAAATAATTGTCTTGTGTTATCAGAAAATTATTCACTAGTAAGATTGAGTCTGATTATCACTTCTTACAAATGGTGTAGATACAAACATGCATTGAGGCAACTCTTTTGTCTTCAGCATGCTGCGTTAACAAACCCGTTTTGGTGTAAGCCACTGGGGTCTGAACTTCTGCACCCCCAAGATGCAGCACGACTGCTTAGGCACACAACAACCTATTCTAACACAAAGCCACAGCCACCACGCCAGGCCCTCCGGTGCTTATTTCTCTACTTTGTGTCACGCAACTTTGCTTCTACATTCTATTTCTACACTCCAATACTGAACAAGCACTTGAGACACTTCACAAAAAAATGTTCAGTGCTCTTCTATAAACTTCAGTGAGAAAACTCTCCATTTTGTAAACGTCTGCAAAATTTCTGTCATCATCAATCCCTTTTATTTTCAAAGTCTTATAAGGAGAAAAAAAGGTAGTGAGCAATGACTTAGTTTTGCAACTGAGCACCTGAGAGCAAAAAGGAAACTGCCTCCAAATCTGTATAACTTTTAATTACTAACGTGCCCTCCCCTGTGAGTTATAAACTCTATGATTATATATGTAGATATATACAGTGAGAAATACTATACCATTATTTATAGATTTTTTAAGCCAAGTATGATACTTTATATTTTTCATTAATGATATTCTGAAAACACTGAAGAGCACATAACTATCTTTTTGAGTAACAAGTAACAATAATTTCCTCTTTAAATACATAACTGCATTTGCAATATTTGGCTGTCATGTTAAATATTAATAGAGTAATTAATGATCCAGAACTAGTAAACAGGTCATTTGGCAACTTCTATTCAAAATTAACAAGTATGCTTTATAATCTAATTAAATATTGGTTATTAAAGGGTTCCTCAACAAAACATGGAAATGGTACAGTACTAAAAAACACATTGTACAGTGGGACATCTATGGTCATTTGCAAAACATATATGCCATTATGCTAAGCATTTTAAAAAGCGTGGAGGCAGCCCCATGAACTGGGTGACGGATAGTGGGTGGTGGCAGGCTGACCTGGGTGAACCCCTTCCTCCTCCTCCTCCCCCTCATCCTCCCTTGCCTCTGCCTCCTCCGTAATTGGAGGACAGGCGGGGGGAGTGTCCACCTCCATGTTCGTGGAGGATAGGGCCAGTCGCTGCATCTTGTGAACCATCACGATTGCATGCATTAGTTGCTGCAAGAGACAAGTTACAGCCCTTTCAAAGTCTGCTCCTTATTAATGTCACACCCTTTATGTAGAGTCTAGAGCTTATAATTATGTCAAGATTTCAGATAAGATCCTCTTTCACAGCCCTTGCAAATCAAATACATTCTGCTACACTCAAGCAAAGCCTGGAACCCATACTAACAAGTAGAGGATTGCAGCCGTGCCTTAAATATTTCAGTAAAGCAGAAGATCAATGCCAATATATGGAATAATATAATGAAACGATAAAGACACACATGCATCCACTTAATGACTATTGACCACATACACATGACCCACTCATACTCACTCATGGTTCTCTTTACCTTCTAACACAGTAATTGGAAACTTTCTTCCTTTCTTTCTATGTTTTTCCTTACTTCATTTACCTTCCATCTTCATTTATCTCCTCTAAAGATAAACAGGAACATATACACACATGCACATGCGCACACACACCGACTCAGATACATACTTACGTACATACATACATAAATACATATATACATAATGCATATATACATACATACATACATCATACATATATACATTTGTACAACATACGTACATATATATATATGCATGCACACACACACACACACACACACACACACACACACACACACACACACACACACACACACACACACACACACACACACACACACACACACACACACACAAACACACAGATTTTCAATTCATTTTGTATGTTATGACAATCTTACGTGTATTGTTGAGTAAATATGTAAATAATCAATTAGTA